TTTGCTTAGGAACTCAATATGTACAACAGTGATTCTACAGGGCGAATTGATCCAGACTGTGCCATAGCAGTGAAAACACTTTTACATGCGAGGAAGGAAAATCGTTTAAATGGATGTTAGGAAATAGTTGAATCAGAACGCAAACTCAGACGCGTCAAGTGTCAAAATACCCAAATCATTTAAGCACAGGTGACCAGAGCAGTTCCCTAGGTCTGCTACATGTAACTACCCAAGCCAAACAGTACTGAGAAAATAACGGCAGATGCTTTTAAGTGCACAGAGTAAGAAACATAGCATTTGTGAGCTTTGTTTGTTCCATTACTTCCATTACGTGAAGGGGAAGTAAAAAGTACACTGGAACACTAACAATTGTTCTACAGACAGAAAATAACTTTCAAGTTCCAACATCTGAAGACTGAGCAGGAAATGAATGAGATGTAGTTTAACAGATCTATATTTGCCTAAAGTGAGCTAAATGATGATGAGTGAGCGTGACATTTTGAAGAGCCATTAAAGCTGCACATTTTTAGCACTCAGGCAAAATCGCTACATGCTTCTGATCGGCTGAAAGTGCGCTGAGCAGAATAATCCATGTTTCGGGTGTACAGTGCCTCTCAAAAGTATTACTGCAGCTTCAATTTTGGTCACATTTTTATCAGGTTTACAACCATAAACATAAAGATTGTATTTAGGGTTTTTTTTACTGAAAATTCACACACAGGAAAAAGACAAGCGTAAAGTCATTTTAGTCATTATTACTTTAAAAATAGAAAAAGTTGGGGCTACATGAGTATTCATACAGCTTTTCTAAAAGAGAATTACATTGCCTTTAAAACTTTTCTAAGGACTGCTGAATTTTCACACCATGCCCTGATGTTTATATAGAGACCTCTTGTGTGTGATCTACTCTCAGTAAAAATACAGCTCTCCAGTGAGGGCCTCAGAGCTGTGGTCAGAGTGTATTGGTCACTGAAGGAGCACACCAGAGAGGTCAGGAATAACGTTGTGGAGAAGTTTAAAGTAGCGTTAAGTTATACTAAGATTTCCCAAGATTTGAGCATATTATCGAGCGCTGTATCTTCTATAAGTGCTATTGTGAAGCTGCAATATTCTCTCCCTCATGTAACCACATTGACTGCCCTAAAAACATTACACCTGTCCTTGGCCAGCTCATGCAAATCAGCAGTATAAATAGTGTGTGTGCGTGTGTGTGCGTGTGCTCACCTCGTACAGGTCTATCATGATGTTTCCCTCTGGCCCTCCGCTGCTCACCACACTCTCCAGCATCAGTGTGAAGAACAGGCCCCTGGACTCCGACATGTACAGGTGGTACGAGTCGTTCTGGTGCCAGTCCTGGATCGCCGCTACCACCTGGTTATCGTCTGTGCTTATGATCTGCAGGTCCTGAAGGTACAAATACAGCTCTGTGTTTACACTCGAGGAGATAGTAATGTACTAATACATTGAAAAAAGTGATGAAAAATAACTCAAATATTGCTCATATTTAGCGTAGTGTATGACTGCCTTAAAACAAGATTTGCCAATGGAACAAGCAAATGTATTTTTCTTTAAAAAGATACAAGAAATGTCTCCCTTAGAATGAGGAAATAAAGCAGTAGTTCTTGAAATAAGACAAAATGGCTTTGTCCCATTGGCAAATCACACTCAAATCAAGCCATTATTTTGCAGTGTAGGGAAATAAACTGGGAAATAACTGTACATTAGCGCAGTGTTCCCCAAACTTTTTGAGCCATGGCACAACTTTGTCATTGAAAACTATCACACGGCACACCACCAGCTGGAACTGTCTGCATTAACAAAGTCAATAGAAACAACGTGTACTATATAGAAAATCAAAAAAGCAATTATTTTCACCAATGGTGATATTGGGCCATATCCAAAAGGAACACCAAACAACATCTCAAGGCATACAAACTTACTGGCTGAAAAACAAAGCATCAAGCCAATCTCATTTGGGAATCAAGTAGTCGAGGCCACTAACTTTAAATAGTTAGTAATCTGTTTTTATATAGTGCCTTGTCACAAAGCACTTTATAATGGATGTGGGAATTTGTCCTCTCACTCCACACAGAGATGGGAGTGGGGTCGCCTGTGCCTGCTGTACATAGTGGGGGAAACCGGAGTACCTGGAGGAAACCTATGCAGACACAAGAAGAACATGCAAACTTCACATGGAAAAGGTGGGAGGTGGAATCGAACCCAGAACCTTCTTTCTGTGAGGTACAAGTACTAAAGACTGCATCACTGTGCTCATAAATATATGATCAATGAATGAATTAGATAAGTCTAGACTGGTTTCATTAAATATTGTGCATGAGTAGAGGGCGGGGCTGTTGCTTTGACAAGAGCTTGGACCATCTTTGCAGCGCTGCGAGGAGAGGCAGCCTCACGCACAGTCCTTTTAGACACTCTGAGCGTTTGAAAGAATGTTAGTGTTAGTGGAAGACACATTTTTTTCACAACCTCGCTCCTCAAGCATGCAGCGCTTTACACCATTTGTCATCAACAGATCCACACTAATTTCTACACAAAAAAACATACAAAAACATATGAGAGCAACAAACTCCATGATGCAGACAGCTATAGAAACTATGGACAGCGGATGTAGGCTGAGAGACAAGACAAGGGGAATGTCGGCTTCAGAGCAAGGGAAAGAGCAGCCGAGCGCAGTGGGAGACAAGTCAGACCAGGCGCACAGGTGAGCCTCAAAGACAGCGATCACCGTGTGGTCCATAGTGCGGAGTCTATGTGTTCTTACAGCACTTGTATATTGTATTAAGTAGATTTTTTCTTTCCTTTTTATGCATGCCTAATTCTATTTTTTTGTATAACTTGTTTGCACCGAAAGCCAAAGCAATTTACTTGTCTGAATGGTTTTTTGGTTTAAATTTTAAATTGTTTTTAGTATTCCCAGTGTTTCCTCAGGAGGAGTCCTCTGCACTGGGAATGGTGGTCGGCTGTTTCTGTGGGGGTCTGGCTCTTGGACCTGGTGGGCGCCTAAAACCTCGGCTTCATGTCTTCTATGGGTCCTGTGTCGTTCCCTGTGGCTGCGGGCGGCTTTCTGATCCTGACGCAGACTGCTCCTTGGATGACGCTTCCTCAGCTGGTTGCATCTGAACCCTGCCAAGTCTCTCTTCATGGTTTTACTGTTTTACTGTGTGTGGGCGACTGCGAGTGTGTGTGTGTGTGTGTTTGCGTGTGTGTGAGTTCTTAATAATATGTGGTTTTGGGTGGGTTGGTTGGGTGGTCAGGGGGAGGGTTCATGGGCGGCATTGTTTTTAACCAAACTGTAAAGCACTTTATGTTGCATCTCCTGTATGAAAAGCGCTTTATAAATACAATTTATTTGATTGATTGATAAGTGCTTGAATGGAGTGGCTTTTATCTACAGTACATTCTTAAAACAAGATTTGTCAATGGGAAAATTTACCGTGATCTTATTTCAAGAACTGTAACAAGCACAAGATAATTGTGCTTGTTCCATTGGCTAATCTTGTTTAGGCAGTCGAAGTGTGCTCAAATTAGAAAACACTTAGCCAAATATGAGCAATTTTTTTGCAGTGTGACTTCCTGTTAAGTACACTAATTCTGTTTCTGCTTCTGATTGTGAGAAGAGTGCCGACTGGGACAGTGGGTCTGTGCTCAAGTCTGTGTTCAGTTCTTAGTTACAGCATCATAGCCACATTTCCACAACCTCAGCTCCAGGCTCTTTCAGTGGCTTTTCTTTTGAGACGATAATGCAAATACATGTGAGCACAGATATTTACGCTGTAGTGACATTTCAACATGACATTTTGCTCATTTATTAAACCCAAGAGATGCTTTGGTTATTGCTTCAAATATTACTCAACATCAATACTTTTAAAAGTAGTCACGGGGAACCACATGAGTGGACTGCTCTGTACAGTGAGGCGATATCAGTAGGGCATTCACATACGAGTCGACCATTCAATTATTGTCATTGGGTTAAACTTTAGCTAGAATCATCTTACTAAGTACTGCAGGTTTAGGTATTTTAGTTTTTTCCAAAGTGTTATGGTTTTTGAATCAGTCCGGTTGTCATCAGATTAGTCTACAGAGGAAAACAGTAAAACAATCCAGAAATAAATCATTAAAGAGTGTGTTAAAGTGCGCCTCCTCCAAACGTTCCAGGTGGAGAAAAAAATTGTCATTATTCTTACCTTAGACAATCATAGTCATTAATAGCGAAACTTTTCTGCCTTCTCAATAATATCAACTAAAGAGAGAATCTCAGCTTGTGTCAGATTGAACCATTATAAACAGACGCTCCAGTGGGAGTTCAGACTTGTCACTTCTTGACACTATTCAGTCAGGATCATCCACAATTAGGCTTGAGGCGTTTCATGCCACTCACTAAAAATAAGAACGGGCTCAGTGTAGTCTTATGAAAAGTGACAGAACGTAGCAGAGACGTGTCCTTCGCCAGAGCGCGTTGACACTACACGTGGACGGATGGCTGCGCAGACTGATGTGGGGGAATTGATTGAGTGACACAGCAGGCTTTAAATCCTCTGTTGTTATGATATTGGCCGTGAGGAGAGCACCCCGCTGCACTTTTAGCTCTTTCTCTACAGCAGCGACAAATATTCTTCAGGTCAAGTGTCAATGAGGTGACAAACAATAATTCTGTTTTGATGAACAATGAGATATTGAAAACCTTATATTTAGAATAACTAACCAGCATGTGTTCAATGTTTGGTTATAAGTCTGGGAATAATTCAAACGTTTAAATATTTGTTATCTTTTATCATATAATGATGTACTATCAGTCACAAAAATGAAGTCACATATTATTAAACATAATCTTAAAATATGCAGGCTAAGCATCACTTCACAGCTGCCTGCCTTAAACAGAGCCTCTCAGTCCTGCAGCATTAAGCTGATATTTGTGCAGCATCCCTCCACCCTCTAATAAATCCCCTCCTGCATATGTCATGCAGTATTCCTGCTGGAGTCATTTGATGTTCAAATGTATTAGTTCTTCATCATACATTAGCTGGGTCTTATTGTCTAATCATGCAGCTACAATATATTCATGTAAAAGTGCCATAAATATCATTCTAATTGAATCTTTATCCTGAGTCTTTAAAGACTGAATTAATAATTGTCAGACCCATTACAGGCAAAGTGAGAAATATCAAGCCTTTGTTATAATGTGGATAATTATGGCTCACGGCTTGTAAATCCATACATTTCACAAGTTTAGTTGAATTCACGGTGAAAACATGAACTTTATTAAGATCATTGCATACACTGTTTTGCATCACCCCATTCCTCCAAGAGAGAGCAGTTGTATATAGAGTTGCCTGAAGTGTACAAATAAAAACAAATGTATGTTTGCTAACACACTTTATGACTAATAAATGACTAAGGAAACTTGTGGAAAGAACAATTCTGCCTAAAAGCCTTTCTAAAACCATCCCAGTAAGTTGCCATGACACTACAGAATGGCCTGCAGAAATACATTATACAACAGAGTTTGGTTTGAAACTTAAGCGTACTCCTTCTCAGTGTCTTACCTTTGGCACTGTGTACTTGGGAAGCTTCATTGGGTAGAAAGCATTTCTTTTATAGGACACGTAATGGACAGATTGGATCCCTATCGGCACCTAGAAAAACAATTAAGGGCAATTTGTAGTTCATCACATTGCCAATAAATATTTAGTGACTCTGTACACAGTGAGTTGGCAGGAGGAATCCAGCCCCTATCAAAACTGTGCTAATTAGGATTTAGGTGCATGGGAGGAAAGAGCAATACACAATGCAGATTCTTCCAATTGGATCGCGTCCGTTCCCCTGGATAATGAAGGCCTTTTAGATAATGAAAAACATGAGCATATTAAGATGCAATTGAATACGTTACTATTACAGCAATTAATTCTCTTTTAATGAAGCCAGACCTTGCAATAATACCCACCTGGATGAAAACGTATTCATCCTGAACAACCAGAGAATTGGGGATGATAAATCCAGGGAATGGCTTGCCCTTGTTTCCTTCTGTGCAGTTCTGGAGTTTACAAGTTATGTACTGCGACCCTGTAGGTAAGCAAGAAGAGAACTCTAATAATACCACAAACAGTGCAACAGTCCGCTGTGGTTTACAATCCAGCTTTGGCTCTGAGAACGCAGCTAGAATTATGAGACCCATACAGGCGAGGTTTTTGGGGCCAATTTTGAGTCCCACTAATAGTAAAAGTAAGAAAGAGCTGTCCCAGAGGGTTAGCGTCAGCCAAATGAGAGCGGCCCCCAGGGAGAGGGCATTTAACACACAGGGCTTCTCAGCTGCCACTCCGGCCAAGAAATAAGCCAAGTAGCAGGCTGGGCCCTTGAAAAATGAATTAGCTTAATCATGCAACGGATCTCTATGTGGCCGCTTAAGACAGGGATTAAAGGTTTTGTAAGTACTGCAAAAAAAAAAACTGCAACCTCTCACCCGTTCTCTAAATTAAAATTCAAGTTTAGATTGAGATTAAGGGATCCTCTAATCGTCCCGTGGTGGGAAAATGTCAGTGTTGCATCAATAGTCACAGAACAGTAGGAATGAGAAGCACACAACGCAAGATAAATGAACAATCACTCTATACTAAAATAAAATAAAATCTCTTACTTTAGCATAGTAAAGAAGCAAGTATAAAATCACTAGGTTTGGCATAATAAGGAAGCAATCTCCAACTTTAGCATAATGAAGCGTATAAAATCTCTAGCTTAAGGGTAATAAAGAAGTAACTACTGAATATCCTAGTGTAAGAAATATAAAGTTATAAATATATGTTTTTTTTTTTTTTTATTTGTTTTATTTGGTTGGGACAGTACATGTTAACGAACACATCACACATTCATTCATTCACTGTCTGAACTACTGCACATGTTTTTAGTGGTAGGGGATATATAAAACCAACATGCACACATACAGCAACTCTTAGGTCTTTCATTTACGTTGTCATGGGAACTTCATTATTACTTACTTCCTTCTGTGATGCTGATTTCCAGGTGAATCATTCCCTGTTCTTTATCCAAGCCCAATTTGGACCTGAAATCAAAAACACATCAAAAACAGCTCAATTCTACAGAGAGGCACAGTCCAGCTGCATTATTGATGAAATCTCATATGCATATTGAACCTTTAAACATGCTTTATGTCTGAGATGTATGTGTGTTTGCTTCTATTTCTTTGTGTTTAGTCCCTGATCCTTAACCAATAGTGAATAGACTCTAAGATGACTCCATTAGTTGCAAGCAGCACTGATTGTTCAAGAAGAAATATCCATTATGTTTGGAGGTTCACATTCATGGACCTTATTGCCATTGCCTTTGTAACTTCTGTCGTGTCTCTCTGAGAGAGCAGTCGTGTCTCTCTGCTCTGCTTTTGCTT